GGCTGACGCTGGCCAGAGCATCCGAGGTTGCCAAGAGCTGTGAGGGGAGATGTGTATAGCAACCTGGGACACTCTGGCCAGAAAGGGGGCTGCATACTAGCATCTTATAAATGCAATAGACAGAACATATCCACTGATATAACAGTATTACAATATAGCAAAAACATAGTAACAACAGCAAAAAGCAATAACTAGATATGATACCGGTAGAGTTTACAGTCTACAGTGAAGGCAATGGGTGAAAGAATAGGTAAGCTGTGCATAAGGCAACAGTGTGTGTCTTGGTAGGGGAAGACAGTGCTAAATCAGTGACTGGAGAGAATACTTTTTTTTTTTTTAAAAGCACCTAAAAATGTAAGTAGCCATTTTAATTTTATTTTAAGTTATGCAATGTAAGTGGGAACATATAACAAACATAAAAAAGGTGTTATCCCAATTTGCCTGCAAAAGTGAAACTTCATTAAGGAAGTGTTTGTAAATTCCGGTGGTTGGTAAGAACTTGTAGAGTTAGAAGTTTGAACAGCATTCTTTAAATAACTGGCAACCAGTGGAAGCAAGGACAATAAACTCAAAACATACAATAGGTTCACTTTACACTGAAAATGAGAGATCGAGAAATATTACGCCTAAGCAATAAGCTTGGTAAGATGGGAATTTTGGGGTCCTGTCAAAAGCATTCAAAGGTAGTAGAAGGGCACTTAGTAAATGGGAAAACCCGGTCATATAATATAGAACGTTGAAACATATTGTTCTGTCCTTGGAAATCCAAACTCATATTAATATCATTATATTATTTCTGGCCCTCACAAGTGGAGATGCCAGGGACAGAAAAAAATAATAAAAAAAAAATCTAATCATACTGCAGCATACTTTATTTATTTAAGCAATACATAATATAAATTATGTAAAAAAAACATTACCTTAATACATACACAAATTCCAACCTACAAATAATTAAAACTACCTAAAAAAATACCCAATAAATAGCCCCAGCGCAAGTACCCAATCCGTTGCATAGATAGCACACATATCCTGGTCAGGGCCGTCTTCAGTGCAGGGCAAAAGGGGCATCTGCCCTGGACCCCTTAATTTACAGGGGCCCACAGAAGATGCCCCTTTCACCCGGAGCGTCAGGCAGGAGAGCAGCGGCACTACTGATAGCAGAGGGGACAGTTAGATTTGGTCCCAGCCCCCCCTTCCTTGGAGGAGCCATGTCACTTTACATTTTTAAACAGATCTGGCTGCTGTAAAGTCCCATGCTTACTGGGGGCCTCGCAACACTTTTCTGGAGTTCCAAAGCGGCGTTTACTGAACAGGCCTGCACATCACCCCTGCTGAGACCTTCCCCTTCTGTCCTGCTGCAATCTTCTGCATTTTCCCCTGCTGTGATCCTTCACATCTGCCCCTGCTGCGATCTGCCACATCTTCCCCTGTTGGCACTATATAAATCCTGTATAATAAAAATAATAATCTTCCCCTGCTGCGAATTACCACATCTTCCCCTGCTGTGAACTGCCACATCTTCCCCTGCTGCAATCCCCCACATCTGCCTCTGCTGCGATCTGCCACATCTGCCCCTGCTGCTGTTCTCCACATCTGCCCTGCTGAGACCCTCCACATCTGTTGTTTTAGAAAAAGTGTCACATGACACTAAACAAGGTATTGGTAATTGGTATTGGCAAGGAAAAGTATCGGTATTTGTACTGGGTCAGGAAAAAATTGTATCAGTGCATCCCTAACACACAATTACATGAGTATCTGCCGTACCCCCCTGATGGCTGCCCTGAAAGGAGTGAAAGGAGAGATGGCAGATAGGGAGTGATTCAGGAACCCAAGACATAAGGAAAGTAATTAGAGGTTCATCTGCATAAGAGGGATATGTAACTCCATACATGTAAAGAATACCAAGCATCTAACCTACTAAGGGAAACACTAATAACAGACCGCGCATTAATCTAAAATATTTAATTAGATATCACAATAAAAAAGTAGGAATATGTATTTGTTCTTGGCATTAAGCTTTTCTGCACTGCACTGCTATGCTGGATGTTATCTAGTCACAGATTCAGAAATTAGTGTGCATTTATGAAGCTTAGATGTCACAGAAACTATAGATTGTGCAATATGTGATTTTTTTTTTTTACATGTGAGTTATCCAAAATCTTCTGATGTCATAAGTTATATTTCAGCTGCTTGATTCTCATGAGTATGACTAACACGGGGGTTTCTATGTAGGGGTTTTCCTATAGACTGAACACTATATCTACATTGTGAAGCTATTTGTTTTCCGCCTAGGAACATAGGCTGCACAAGCACATTTGTTTTTATCAGACACACACAATGCCTCTGTGTCATCAGCACAGTATTTCTGGTGACAGAGGAAGCACATTTTATGATCATGTGAAATAAATATTGATACTGGGAACTTTTGCAACACCATGAATGTAAGATTCTGCAGGAAGGAAGGAAGGGGAGGCAGAGCCACTATGGAGTGCATAGCGCACTATGGCAAGCAACTAATGGTCATATTTACACGGGGAAGTTCTTTATTATGAGGATCAGGGATACTGAAGGTTTAAAAATCAATTTTGAGGGTCTTATTTATAATTATTATCTTCATGCTGTGCGTAGTCTTTTTTTAACTTAATTTTCTTAGGTTTCAATGCCAAATTAATAACCTTTTAAGGGTCTTAAATATTGTATTTTTATTTTTCACATAACCTTGCATAACTTTGTATATGGTTTAAAACTATGAATATTTTTTATAACTGATTGATAATATGTAACATGGTCTAATATTGTTTGTAATATGTATTATTGTAAATATATACACTATGGAGTCTATTCACGAAGCTGCCGAGGGCAGCCGAGTGAATGACCGATCTGAAGTGAATCTTAAAGATCCCGAACAGCAGTGAGTGAATAGTCGAATGCCAGCCGGGCATTCGGCTTGGCTGTTCTGCTCGGTCCCTCAGAGGTACCGAGCAGAACAGAAAAACAGTGAAAAAAGTTAAAAAAGTAAATAGCAAACGATTGTGCGGAGCTAGCAGTGACAGCTAGCTCCGCCCAATAGTTTCCTATTGTCCGGCGGCTCTGCTGCTGTAAAAAAAAAAACGGAAAAAAAAAAACTCTCCCGACTGCCCAGGAGAGAAACAGAGCTGTGTTTTTTTTTTTTCTTTATTCTGACACGATCGATGTCAGAATAGAAAAAAAAAAAAAAAGAAGACATTTTCACATTAAGCAAATTGAAAGCCAGATCCTTCGGCAGCTTCGTGAATAGACCCCTATATTACCAAAAGTATTGGGACACCCCTCCAAATCATTGGATTCAGGTGTTCCGTGAAATGTTCTTGCTACTAAATATTCCGCGAACAACTGTTCCTTACCTTTCCCATAAATAAATACCGAGTTGGTGAATTAAGAATTTTTGAAGGAGAACCACTGGAGAATACTTTTTTTGACCTTTCTTGGATTTAAGGAGTAATTTTAAGCCAATGAGGGTATCTGCAAGAGGGTTGGCACAAAGGTGGTACACTGAGATGGATTGTGAAATGGACTGTATTAGGGATGTCCCGATACCACTTTTTCAAGACCAAGTACAAGTACTTGCCCTCAGGTACTTGCCGATACCAATTACTGATACTTTATCTTAAAGGGACATGTAACATTTTTTCTAAAACAATACAGACTAATGATTTTAGGGCAGTTGTTCACCAGGCTGCATACAGATGTCACTAGGGCTAAATAGAGATCTCACCAGAGCTAAATACAGATCTCACCAGGCTGCGTTCAGAATCTGTAAGCAGCCTGGTGACATCTGGATGCAGCCTGGTGACATCTGGACTCCAGATCCCACCAGGCCGCATACAAATCTCACCAAAGCTGCGTACAGATCTCACCAGGCTGCATACAGAATCTGTACGCAGCTTGGTGAAATCTGTATGCAGCCTGGTGACATATGTAGTCCAGATCCCACCAGGCTGCGTCCAGATGCTACGAAAAATTGGGTGATTAACTCCTGGAGATCCGTCCAGATGCCACCAGGGCTGCGTCCAGATGTCACCAGGGCTAAATAGAGATCTCACCTGAGCTACATACAGATCTCACCAGGCTGCATTCAGAATCTGGATGCCGCCTGGTGACATCTGTACTCCAGATCCCACCAGGCTGTATACAAATCTCACCAAAGCTGTGTACAGATCTCACCAGGCTGCGTACAGAATCTGCACGCAGCCTGGTTACATATGTAATCCAGATACCACCAAGCTGTGTCCAGATCCCACCAGGGCTGCGTCCAGATGTCACCAGGGCTGCGTCCAGATGTCACCAGGGCTGCGTCCAGATGTCACCAGGACTGCCAATGAGTCTCTCCAGGGCTGCGTATAGATGTCACCGGGGCTGCCTATTGGGTCTCTCCAGCGTTGCTTATTGCATCTCTTCACAGGCTCTGACAGGTGCTGTGCTGAGTTAGCTCTACGGTCGCTTAGTGAGCCAAACGGAGCAGGTGCCGGTCACGTGCCCACTCCGAGGCTGTATTCAAGGTGTGGGGCTGCCTTGAGCAGTGCCTGCACCTTGATTCAGGAGGAGGAGACGTGGGACCTGGCAGGCAGTGTCAAAAAGACAGCTACTGCCAGGTCCCCAGAAGGCTGCTTCAGGACCCCACAAGCGCGGGACCTGAGACGGCCGATCCGATTAAAAAATTAAAAGGGCCAGTATCGGCCTTCAGCATCGGGTCATTTTCACGAGTACAAGTAAGCTCTAGTACAGTAACAGTGGGTTGCTCACTCTCCACCTTTTCATTTCACACAATACAACATTTTGTGAATGGGCTATGGGAGGGGCAGATGAATGCTACGATCTCCCCTCATCACCTTGTGATCTGTGAAAAGAATACAAGGTGTTTTTTGAATAGATGAGGTGGGGAGCAAGCAACCCGATATCATCACTGTACTAGAGCCAAAATTGGAAGTTTCAGCGCCGGAAGTTTGGCGCTTAAAGCAATGTCCAGGATTAATAAAAGGTAATTGTTTTACCTTTTCACTGCAGCATCCCCAAATGATACACCCATGATTAGAGATCAATTGTTTTTTACATTGCAAAGCTGAGTTCAGCTTAACATAAATATCTAAAAACTGTAAAAATACTGGTGATTACCCTTTAATTTATTTTTAGCTCTATTTCTTGTTAAATATAGACGCTTATCACTCTTCAATAGAGAACAGACTGCGGATATATACTTTACATACCAGACAAAAATAATATTATTTTCTAACTGTATTTATGATTTTTCTCTTGTCTAGTGATACGGGCACATGTATTCCAGAGAGTGGACTGTTTGGATTTATGATTAGTGTGAGTGCTATGTTAGGTAAGTCTTGAACACTTTTCTATTTTGAAAGACAAAGAAAAAATCAATATCAGATATACAGTACCTACAACTCGTAATTTTGTGTGTTGATCTGCACCTCAGCTCCTGGTTCCTGCCTATGATTTTGGACTATTTATTTATTTATTTATTTTAACATAGTGAAAAAAAAATTCCTGACATTTTTATGCTGATTATGTGTGTTTAGCTGCAGCTTTCTCACTCTGTGTCCTGCTCTTTCTTTTGTGCACCCTGTAACTCATTCTGTCTCTTTGCCTCGGCTGTGTCCCTTTTGCTTTCTATTTCCATATTTCCCATCTACTTTATTCTGAATATCAGTTTCTTCCGTTGTACTTGTGCCATGTCTCCCTCCTGTTCCTGGTGCCCTCACTTAACTAAATGTAGGTATGCATTCATTACATACTGTTATAAAGGAACTAAATTCTGGAACCTGTGCTCAGGCAGGCAGATGGCAAACAACTAGTCACCAGTATTGCCTGTGGGCTCCCTGCAGAGGATCTTTCCCCATTACTGGCTTACCATGCTTTGTTCTGTACTGTGTGACCATCTTGGTAGTGGCAGGGCTTTTACTTCCTCATGTCAGGGCCTCCAGCAAGGAGAACAGTGAGCAATACTGTAAGGACATAACCAAATCTCATCAAATCCAGTGAGACTATCAATCACTGGCAGCGGTGCCTCTCATACAGAAGATGTACAGCTTTGAGGTGGTAGCAATAGGAGTGCCTAAGCACACTCACTTACCAGGAAGTGCACTGTTATTTTCCAGGAAGAATTCAAGACAACAGGTAAATCTTTCAGGGTACCGTTTAGGTCTAATTAATATGTCTAAATGTTCCCCATGAGATAGCACATCTTTACTTTTTGAGTCCTTGTCAACTTTAAATCTTTGAGGCATTTAAGTACTGCTAAACCACTGTGTTCATGTGTCAGCCACTTTCCTATTGCCATCTAGTTTATGTCTGCAAGCCATGTCTATTTCTGACAGCTGACTTACCTGAATTGGTACCTAAGCTGTATCTATCTTGTGATGCTGTGTACTGGATGTTGTATTGATTACCTATGTGCTTTAGTTTTCCTATCCCTAGCTGTTTTGAGATCTCTCGGTCTTTGATCAGCAGCCCCCTGTGGGCCATTGCTATATACTCGGTCCAGGCACCTCTACAGGGCATGCAAGGGAGCTGCTGCTGTTTCTAATGAAAATAATCATTAAAGTAAAATTAATGGAATTTATTGATGAATATATTCTAAAAAAAGACAAAATAACCATAGTACTTTAATACCCGAAAGATGGTGATCACAGGAATTTAAAGGAGTTGTAAAGTCCCAGGATATGCTATTGTGTTATAACATCAGCATTGTAATAGGAACACATACTAAAGTGGTTTTTGTTTATGCAATCAAAGCTTACTTGGCAAACCCGTTTATGTAGTGAGTGCTGCTTTCTGTCTGCCCATCACTTTCATCAATTTCCTGGATTCCCAGTATGTTTCGTTTCTCTTTCTCTGCTCCATTTATGTTATGCAATCTAAATTTCACAAGGCTACATATCCCATCATGCAGTGATAATGTTACATTGTGTGATGGTCAGACTTTGAATTGTAGTTCAGAAGGCAGACTTAGAGTGGTGACAGAAGGAAGTGCATTTTCACAGGGCTGAGAGGAATTGTGTCAGTGCATTGAGAAAGTACATCCTATGGGCATCTTCAATAAGAGTGGGATGGAACATATGGAAATTCAATATAGAAATACAGTTTTGTTTTATGTTTTTTAAACCATAGATACCCTTTAAAGCAGTGGTTCTCAACCTTTGTAACCTCTGGATCCACATTTGTCCTTGGTCATTAGGTCGCAACACACTAGAATGCATGGCATTGCGGTACCGCACGTTCTGTTGCGGACAATTGAACTGTGGACGGGAGGTGCATTTTGGGTGTTATTCAAATAAATGGCATTGCATCTCTTGCACCAGAATGTTCAGTAGGTGCAATTGCGTGGTACAGTGCCTTAATCGTACGGGTCCAGTGTGGGCTGCTGTGCTGTGACGGAGCTTCATCCATATGTGCATGGATTGTACAACTCCCTTGCGCTCCCCGTGGAGGTGGCGAGAGTCAGAAAGTGACGTCACACCGCTCCAGGCACCTCTACAGGGCATGCAAGGGAGCTGTAAACAATGTATGTATGGATGGAGCTCCCTCGCGGCCATACCCCCAGCATATTTTGAATGCCTACACTGCGTGAGAACTGACTGTGCTGTGCTGGGGGAGGCTGAAGAGTTTTAATAATATGGGGAGTAACTCTCAAGGCCTGGCTAGTAGCTCAGGACTTTAAATTTTGAGCCGTGCTTTGAAGCATATATGAACAAATATATTTTTATTTTCTTTATCAGTATCATTTAATTCGATTACAAAACATTTCCACAAAGAATGGAATACAAAAAATTTTCTCGAAAATTAGCAAAAGCACTGATGCCTGCTTGACCCCATTGTCTGCTGAGGACCACGCCAGCAAGGGATTGCCTGTTCTCTTTTGCCATGTGTGTCAGCATTTTAATTGACACCATTCACATTACCTACAAGAAAAACGAGGCAGGCGCTGTGGGAAAAAAAATATTTACTTAATTTGTATAAACAGCAGTACATTTCTTTCCATTTGCAAGCATGTTTTGGGTGATTAGAGAAGGAAATCAAACACACTGCATGAGACACAGCAACAAAATATCTTTCCCAGCAACCTAAAAGCTAAAATTTATACACATAAATAAACTTAGTGTTAAAGGGACACTAACCATATGGCGGTCCGTTTAATTTATTTATTTTTTCTAAAATGTATTCATTTTTATTAGGGATGTCCCGATACCGATACTAGTATTGATATCGGGGCTGATATAGGGCATTTTCACGAGTACAAAAGTGTCCCGATTCTGAGTTCCCATGCTTGTGGGAACCTCAGGCAGCCTGCTGAGGACCTGGCAGCAGCTGTTATACATCTCCTCCTCCTTTCCGGCGCAGGCAAAGCCTTGGGCAGCCCTACACCGCACGTACAGTCCCTGACTTTCTTGATGGCCTCAATCTTAAGACAGCTTTGAAGAATTGTGCCAACAACTCATTTGAGGTTCAATGAATCTTACTGAAGGATAAAATTGCAGAGACTTGTCCTTTGAGGGTACTCAAACCAAGCCCTATGTCCAGGCCCTTCTGAAGAGAGTCCAGTAAGTCACTAACTCTAAGATTATCCGTTCGAAAGATCCTTTTAGATGCAAACTCTTAGACACTGTTCGTGCTGTTCTGTCTAGATTTCAACAGGGTGTCAATCATTCTCCGAGCACCCTAATTCCAAGAACCTTGGCCTTACAGAATCTAAGCCATTAGGCAGTATTTCTCAGGACGTTTGTGAATCATGGGAACTTGTGACAGAAGATTGGGAACTACCATTATTGGGAGTGTGTCCTTCACACTTAGGTGTAAGAGCAGAGGGTACCATGGTCGCCTGGGCCAGTTGGGAATTACGGCCAGCACTAAGATGCTTCTGCGTCCACAATCTCTTCAAGAATCTGATTATCATTGGAATGGAGGGAAATGCATATGCCAACTGAAAGATCCAACTCGATGCCAATGCATCCATCCCCATCACTTGTAGGCAAGGATTTCTCGAGAAAAATGCCTGAAGTTTAACATTGAGAGGGGATTGCAAATAGATCCACCTGTGGTATGAATTCCCATCTCATCAGGGCTATGAACACCTCTAGTAACAGGGACCACTTGTTGTCCACCAATGTTCTGGACAAATCTGCCTGGGCATTGTCCTGGCCTGGAATATACAACACTGACAGATGCAGAAGGTTGGTTTGCGCCCAACACATGATTGGTGGCACTTCCTTGATCAGGGAGCGGCTGCATGTGTCCCCTTGTTTTCTGATGCACGCCACAGCTGTGGTATTGTCCATCTTCAAAAACACTGATTTCCTCTGAAGGAGATGTTGAAAGGTTAAAAGAGCTTGCCAAGCTACTCTTGTTTGTAGGTGACCAAGTACTTATTTTCCACCATAATTTGCAAATAAATTTGTTCCAAATCAGCCAATGTGATTTGTCTGGATTTGTTTTCTCATTTTGTCTCTCATAGTTGAGGTCTACCTATGATGACAATTACAGGCCTCTCTCATCTTTTTAAGTGGGAGAACTTGCACAATTGGTGGCTGACTAAATACTTTTTTGCCCCACTGTAGGAGAATAGCACCTCCCTTTGTGCTCTTGTCACTGGCAATTTTACGTTCACAACTCTAGGTGTGGAGCCCCCTGGAAAATACATGCATGGTCCTCCATAACTGGGGACCCATCTGTCTTCTATGTTGTCCACCAAAACCTGCCGGAACCTGGACAATCAGGCTCCCACCAGGCTAGTCTGGGTGGGGACACCTTTAGAGGACTTAGAAGCTGCGTTTGCCACATTCTTCCAAGGCCTGCTGAATTCCCTCGCAGGTCTGTAAGATCTTGCTTCTTGTCCCTGTTCCGAGACATTGCTATAAAGTGTCCCCTTGTTTCAGAATTCTCCTGTCTTGCGGAATGAACCCAGATATGCCTCCCGTCACTTTGGCAATGACCGAATTCAATTTATCTCTGAAAAGTGACTGGCCTTCATAAGGAATCTTGCACCACCCTTGTTTGAAATTGAGGTTCACCACCCAAGGCCTGAACCATAGCGCTCTTTTCCCAGTTGCTGTGTATAACATAACTCCAGCGGTGCCACGGCACCCTGGTTGAGAAAAGGTGATCTAAAGCAACAACAGTAGCTGCTAGTCTGTTGAAGACCTTAATAAGGAATGAGTCACTGCTACTGTACTCCGTAAATAGCAGGTAAGCTGAAATGCACAAGCATAGCATGCACCTTCAAAGTCAAGTTAGCAATAGTTAGAACATATTTGCTAACTCTTCCCCACTTCATGGCTGGAGTTGTGCTTTAAACAGAGGTTATAATCACATTCCGTTCTGTTCACACACAGATGACCAGTAGAGGGAGTATTTAAAAATATGTGTATGAAATATCAAAACACTGAACAGCAAGAAATTATACATTCGAAAGTATGCTAAAAATTACTTTTAGGTACGTAAGTAATAATTCAGAATGGGAACTTGCTAAAAATAGAATACACTATAGCTATCCTCTAAATCAAGGGTCTTCAACCTTTTCAATCCGAGGGTCACATTGTATATTTTACAAATATTCACAGGCCTGAAGAAATCAGTTTTATAAATTAATGAATACCATTTAAATTAATTAATAAGTGTTCCCCCCACCCCTTACATCAAGGAGTGCCCATGAGCAGTCCCTCCTTACATCGGGGGTGAGGGTCATGGCTGGCTGCAAGTGAATGTGCCAGTCTCCATATTACGATGCACAGATTGGTGCAGCCAATTTATCCAGATTGGATAAAATCAGCCTGCAAAACAAATCTGTTTTATAAATGAATGAAGAATACTATTTAAATGAATAAGTCACCCTTTGCATCCAGTAGTGTTCATCTAGAGTCCCCCCTTACGTCGGAGGGGGAGTGGTCAAGGCAGTGCTAGACTAGTTTGCGCCCTAGGCAAGACCAGCTACTTGCACCTGTGGCGCAACCCCCCCCCCCCCCCC